ACATTGTTCCAATTTATAGTGTACGTAGTACTTACCATTATACATTGTATACATATATGTATACAACAGGTTATATGCATAGTATTTTCCAACACATGAATATGATTGCATAAGCCTTATTATTTTATTTCACTGCAGAGATGGCTTTTGACATTGTTTAAACTGGTCTATATAAATATTCCTGTGATTGTGGTCAGGAACAGCAGAGGAGCAGTTACCTGCTATTTGAAATAGTCACTCACAAACTTTTATGTGACTTTTTATTTCAGAGGCATATACATTGTGATTTGAGAGATGCTGCTTTTGAAAATCTTTTATGAGCCCTAGTTATAGATCATCACATGGTGTTCATTCTGTTTTGTCTCTTAGATCAGAGCCCACCCTAATAACCTCTTCTTAACTTGATTACACCAACATTCTATTTCCAAATGAGATCATGTTTACAGGTACCAGGATTTAGGACCTAATCATATCCCTTTTTTTTTTCCGGGGTGGGGGGCACATAATCCAATTCATATAATCTCTGCTTAGTTTCCAACATAAGAATAAATCCCATGTGTGGGTTTGAAGATATCTTCAGGGTTTATTGTAAAATGTAAAGAGGACATTGTTTTTTAAAGACACATACACCATGAAACCTGCATAAAAGCTCTTAAAAACTATAGTCATGTTATTAAAATGAGACCTGTACTCAAGTTCTCAGAGTTAGAGCATAATACCTTGTAATGGATTGGATTATGTCTCCCTCAAAAGATATGGGGAGATTCTAATGCCTGGTACATGTGAACCTGACCTTATTTAGAAAGAGAATCTTTGCCACGAAGTGTAGTGGTACACACCTGTTATCCCAGTGACTCAAGAAGCTGTGGCAGGAGGATCTAAGCAACTTAATGAGACCCTGTTTCAAAATAAAAAATAAAAAGGGCTGGAGATGTGAGTCAGTGGTCAAAAACCCTGGGTTCAATCCTCAGTTCAAAAGAAAAATAAAGTCTTTGCTAAGGTAATCATGTTAAAATGAGGCCATTAGGATGGGGTCTAATCCAATATGATTGATGTATATATAATAAGAACACCACGTGTATGCAGAGAACACAAAACAAAAGAAAACAAAACAGAGAATACCATGTGACGAGTGAGTCAGAGACTGGAGTGATGCAGCTGCCAGCAAAGGAATGCCTAGGATTGATGGCCACCATCAGATGCCAGGGTTCTACCCAGTGTCTCAGAGGGTGCACAGCCCTGCTGACAACCCTTTGGCTTCAGATTATTAACCTCCATAATCGTCAGAGAATAAATTTCTGTTGTCTTAAGCAACCCATTTATGATACTTCATTATAGCAGCACTAGGAAGCTAATACATGCTTCTATTGATGATCACCCAAAAGGAGAAGGCAATGGATAGTTCTACAGATGATGAAGAATAGGGGTAGTGGATTGTTTTGTTACAATCATGTCCTTGAAGAAATATCAAGGGTAAGCACTAACGTAAACTGTGATTGTAATAATAATAATAATAATATATTTCTCACACATTTGACATTTTTCAAAAATATTTCAGAGTTTAAATAAGCTACCACAATACATGCAGCAAACCCAAGGATCTCCATTCTCTACCAATTGCATGTAGCAATATTTTTACAAGGAACAGAGTTACTTTAAATATAAATAAACAAAATATGTATATATAGAAAACATGAGAGAAAGAATATGAGAACTCAAACCTTCAGCAAATATAATACTCAATAAATATTTCATTTTAAATGATTAAAAATATTTAGTGTGAAAAAGTAATTAAATTCTATATGTACATATAACAAGGAAAGAAAGTAAATTAATAATTTAAAACTTTTAGGCTGAAGATTTGGCTCAAGAGTAGAATGCCTGCCTATCAGATGCAATGGTCCCTGGGTTCTACCCCAAGCACCACATAAATAATTAAGTAAACAAATAACTAAAATTAAAAATTCCCACAAGGAAAAACCCAGGACTAGATGGCTGATATATTCTATCATATGTTTAAAGAGGTATTAACACCAATGCTTTGCAATCTCTTTAAAAAAAAAAAAAACTGCCTACCTCAAATTCTATGGGGCCAATACTACCCAGATAATCAAACCAGATAAAGACATAATGAAAAACAACTAGGGATTATAGCTCTTATGAATACAGTTGGAAAAATCCTTACTTTATACTAGCAAACTGAATCTAGCAATGTTTTAAAAGGATCATATACCATGACAAGGTAGGATTTATTCAAGGAATGCAAGGTTGGTTAACATCTGAAAAATTAACCAACGTTCTACACAATGCTAACAGAATAATGGGAGGAAAGCCTCATGTGATCACCTTGAAAGATGCAGATATCAAGAGCTGACATCATATTTAATGACAAAAGACTGGATGCTTCCCCCAACATTAGGAATAAGGCAAGACTTCTGCTCTTACCATCTGTATTTAACATTGTACTTGAGCTTCTAACTGGGAAATTAGGAAAGAAAGAATTAAAAACACTGGATTGGAAAAATGGAAGTAAAACTGTATTTCCTCACAGATCTTGTATACTGAAAAGCCTAAGGAATTCACAAAACACAATACAAACAAACAAACAAAATCTATTAGAATTAATATACCAGCTCAGCAATATTACAAAATACAAGACTGATGTACAAAAATTAATTGCATTTCTGTATACTAGCAATGAACAATCCAAAAATGAAATTAAGAAAACAATTCTATTTGCAGTATCATCAAAAAGAATACAGGTACAGTGGCACATGCCTGTAATCCCAGCAACTTGGGAGACTGAGGCAGAAGAATTGCCAGTTCAAAGCTAGCCCCAGCAACTTAGTGAGGCCCTAAGCAATTTAGCAAGACCCTGTTGTCAAAATAAAAATATAAAAGGGCCAGTGATGTGGCTCAGTTGTTAAGTTCCCTGGGTTCAATCCCTGGTACCAAACCAAACCAAACAAAAACACCCAGACTTTCATAATAAGTTAACAAAACAAGACTATACACTGAAAACTATACAACATTGTTGAAAAAAATGTAAAAAGAACTAAATGAAATTAATCATGTTATTAAAAATTAGTCACATTATTAAAATGACTAATTTTATACAGTTGATTTATGTTCATGAACCAGAAATTTGATAACTTGATATTGTTAAGGTGGGAATACTTCCCAAATTGATCTACAGATTTAATGTAATAACTATTAGAATCTCAGCTGGGTTTCTTGCATAAATTGAGAGGCTTGTCCTAAAGTTTGTGTGGAAATACAAGGGAGTCAAGAGTACCAAAAAATACCTTGAGAAAGATCAAAGTTGGAGAATTCATACTTTCTAATTTCAAAACTTATTACAAAACTATAGTTATCAAGACTATGTGGTGCTAACATAAGCACAGAAATATAGACGAGTGAAACAGATTTAAAAGGCCAGAAATAAATTCTTGTATTAATGGACAATTGATTTTTCACAAGGTTGCCAAAACAATTCCATGGGGAAAGAACAGTCTTTTCAATAAATGATCCTGTAATCCCTGGATGGCCACATGCAAAAGATTGAAATTGGACTCCTCTCTCATAGAATACACAAAATTTAAATCTAAATGTAGCAAAGATTTAAATATAAGTTTAAACAATAAAACTTTTATTATTATTATTTGCAGTGCTGGGGATTGAACCCAGGATCTTGTGCATGTTAGATGAATACTAGACCAGAGAGCTATGTACCCAGCCCAATTAAACTCTTTAGACAAAACATAGGAATAAATCTTTGTGGCCCTGGGTTAGGCAGTGTTTTCTTAAATATGATGCCTAAAGCATAAGTGACAAAAGAAAAAAAATTGTAACAGTGAAAGTCATTAAAAATTCAAAATGTGTATTTTTAAAAGGATACCTTCAAGAAAGTGAAAAGACAATTCAAGGAACAGGAGATCTTATGTTCAGACTGTGTATCTGATAAGGATATATAAAGTACTCTTATAAAAAGATAAATAGCCCAATTAAGAATGGTTAAAAAATTCACAGACATTGCTCCAAAGAAGATATGCAAATGGCCAATAAATGCATAGGAAGATGTTCAGTATCATACTCATTAAGTAAATGCAAAACATGATCACAATGATACCTCTTTACATCCACTAGGCTTACTATAATAAAAAATCCAGACAACCGTTGGTGAGGATATGGAAAAATTCAAAAGCTCATACATTGCTAGTAGGAATCTAAAATAGTATAGCTACTTTGGAAAACAGTCTGGTAGGGTCTCAAAAAGATAAACTGAATCAACATGACCTAGCATTTCTACTTCTATGGATATATCTAAAATAAATGAAAATATGTTCATACAAAATTTGTATATGAATGTTTATAGCACCATTATTCACAATAATCCCAAACTAGACACAATCCTAATGTCCACTTTCTGTTGAATGAATAAACAAAATGTGGTATACCACTGAGTAATATTCCACCATGAAGAGGAATGAAGTACTGATATAAGATAGGATGAACCTTGAAATAATTATGCTAACTGAAAGAAATCAGTCAGAAATGACTACATATTGTACAATTTCATTATAAAGCCATAGAGACAGAGACAGGGTTACCAGAGAATGGGAGAAGGAGAAAATAGGGGAGTGACTGGTAATGGGTTTCTGTGTGGGGCAATGAAAATGTTCTGAAATTAGACAGTGGTGATAGTTGTAAAATTCTAAAAATATACTACAACTCACTAAATTGTATCCTCTAAAAAGGTGAAATGTATGGCATGTAAATTACATCTCAATAAGGCAAATCAACAATTTCTTCTTAGAAACCACCATGAATTGACTTTCAGTCATATCTTCCTATTCTTCTGTACCCTTCATATCATCCAGGAGGTGGGGGTGTGGCATTCACTGAACTCTTTTTCTGTGATGCAGAGGCCTCCTTCCTTTGCTAATGTGAGAAGTCAGACCATGGTTTATTTACAAGGTGATAGAAGTATGCTTTGTTACAAGTTGCTGATCTAGAACTTCCAGGGATAAAGTGCCATGAAGAAGGTTAGAAGCAGTAAATTACATCAGCTCAGGCCCTTATCATCCTTCTCTGAATATTGTGACAATCTTCTATCGTCACTCTCCTGTTTTGCTTCTCTCGCCTCTCTAGCTACTAGGAGATCTTTTTTTTTTAAAATAGCAAAGCTGATCATGGCACTCCTCTGCTTAAAAAATCCTGCCCTCAAGATCAAATCCAAATCTTCAAGCATAGAAAGTAAGCCCTGCATAACCTGGCCCTGATGTACTTGTTTCTCTTATAGCATTTCCTCTTGCATCCTAACTCAGCTTGTAGTTTTCCAGCACTCTTTGCTACTTTATGCTTCCTTTATGCTTTATGTCTTTGCTCATGCTGATCCTCTTCCAGGAACAGTTTTCTATTCTTCTTATTTTCTCCCTGGTGCTGGGGGAATTGAACCCAGGGCCTCACACATGGTAGGTAGGCATTCTATCACTGAGTTGCACCCCCAGCCCTCCTCTCATCTTCAAACATTTTGCTCTGGGGAGTGTTTCTTAACTCTACTCCTCCAAATTGGACTCTCCTTCCTGGGGACCTCAGACATGTCCCATGAAGTGTTTGTTCTCTTTAAGCACTTATATCACTTGCCTTGAGTCCTTATATGATTTCCCCACTGGGCTGTTCAACAAGGGCATGAACTGTGTCTCATTTATACAATCAGGACCAACAATTTAAGAATGGAATGGAGGGCTGGGGTTATGGCTCAGTGGCAGAGCGCTTGCCTCAGCACCACATAAAAATAAATAAACAAAATAAAGATATTATGTCCATGTATAACTAAAAAATATTAAAAAATAATGAAATGGAGTAAATAAATAAAAAACTAGCAACATAAACCTATTTCTGCCCATTCCAATGTGGGCCCTGGAAGAGGCTATATGGGTTGTCATTTTCTACCTATTTCTCTAAATTAGAGCAAACAAAAATAACTATAGACATGGGAAAACAGAAGATTCCAAATGTGCTTTTTTTCTTCCTTTTATTATCTCAGAACTGGCAAGAGAGATAAGGTCTGTCACATCAGCAGCTCTTTAGTGCTTATCAGTAGGGGTGGAAGAGAGCTGATTGTGCTATTTTCTACCACCTAGCGAATAAAGTTCAAACTCCTCAAGAAGTTGGTCAGGCTCTTTGTCTTATCCACCACTATTTTTTATTGACACTTCCATGTGAATCACTCATTTTATGTTATTTTAATATGCTCCATGTTTTTTTATAAAATATTTTTGCCTTAGCAAAGGTGTCTATCTTTGGCCCACCTCAATGACTCTTTTCCACTGAAGCCTTCCATACTCTATACTTCCTGACCTCCAACTGGGAGCCATCACTTCTTCTCATGTTCTTTTAGCACTTTTTGATCTAATATAGCATTTGTTTTTTACATCCTCTCAGAACTTTGTGTGGTGTAAGGCTAGAAATGGATGCTGTACTGATGGATGGAGAGTCAACAGAACTAGTCATAATTCAAAATGTAAATGGGTAGTCAAGGTAGAAAGGAAAGAGAGACAAGTAACATGGATTCTCTTCCCAAATTGCAGTACATGATCTCCTGGGAGCTAAGAGATTTCCACATGAGAATCAGAAACGTATGTGTTCCAAATGAAACCACAAACATTCCACACTCATTTGAGTAGACCAAGCCATTCTCCTAAGTCTAAAAGTGCTTTGTATCTTTCTTTTCTCCAAGAAAGATAGTTCTCCTGACTAAATTCCAATCATCTAGGTCAATGTTTTAAAAGTTTGCTATCTTAGCTGTTTTTATTTTAAACTTTTAATCCTGTACATTCCTCTCAAACTTCTGGGACCAGACACAAGTCCAGTTTTCAGTGGCCTGATATAACATTACATACTCCACATTTTTGTGGCATACCAGCTCTCTAAATAGAAAAAAATAGATTATGTTTTAATCTTGTCTTGCTATATGCTAAAATAGCCCTTTAGGACAAATATGTTTGACTTGATCACACTCAAACCCTACATTCTTGATTTTTTGAGTTTCTGTATTCTGCCTTTTTACTTTCCACTTAAAAATGTTTTCAGGCAGATAAAGCCTTATATGAGATTTCAAAAAACAAATGATGAAAGATGGATGAAAGAATAATTTAATGACACTAATTCAAAATGGTGTTTAAAACACCTGCAGAAAGAGAATAATTGATATGGGGTTCTTATTATGTAAGGATTAGTATAATAAATACAAAAAGAATTTTTAAAAATCTATAAAATAAATTTTAAAGATGACTGCATGCTGAAAAACTCAATAAGTACCTCATTATAGCAATCTACAGAAAGGCAAATATGATACACCAAGAAAAATCAAAACAAATGCTTATGACCAAATAACACGATGGTCATAAAATCCTAGGGATGGAAGGCACTTAATGAAGATCTGTTTGGACAGGAATAGCCTCTGACCACAGTTAGCTCCTTATTCCAACAAAATAAGAACAGCATGGTTTTCTGGTCAATCTTCTTACCTCTAATCATTCCACAAATAGCTCCCAGAAAGGACCTTTTAAAAATCCCAATTGTGCCTTTATTCAAAATTCTTCAGTGACTGCTTCCTATAGGTAAAAGATATACTATTTGTGACCCTTTCCCAGACTCCTCCAGAAGAAGCTTTCATTCAACTTTTAAATATATAGCAACTATTACAGGGACTCCTAAGAGTCCAGGCTATGTCTGTCCCTTCCAAAGATCAGGAATCCTCAAAGGCTGCACCAATATTCCCAGGATTTTGACTGGTGCTAGGGAGATGGTGTTCAACAAATGTTTGCTAAATTGAAGTACTGAAATCCCAATAAATGGATTATATCTTCCTAAATTGTAACTTTAATCTTCACTTTCTTTTTTTCCGAGGACTTAAAGACAAGTACTATAGATAAGAATGGAAAAGGAAAGATCATCTTTGAACAGGGAAATATGCACTGCAGTTTATAGATATAAAAGTCATGTACTACCATTGTGTACCAGCCTTGTCAAATGAATTGGGCCTCTACTGGCTGAACCCAGCACTTGCTGCGAGCATCAGAAGCTTAGGAAGAATGGTCTTAATGATTATCTAGGCATTATTGGCGTGCTTGTAAACATAATCAATAATTGGCAAGCCATGAGGGACATCAACTTCATACCAAACTATAAAACAAAGCTGACCTCCAAAGATCACTTCGGATGTAGCCTCACAGGAATAGAAAGACCACTTTAAAGAATGTCAGTGGTGTAGCAGGTGAAAGACTCATGTTTGTATGGTCCCACTAGTAAAAATCTCTCCAAAAACAGAGATTATTTATTTGGGGGTAAGTTATTCATGTAATTTTAATATTGTACCTCTGCCAACTAATTCCAGGATATGGGAAACTATTTTTAAATGTGAATGCAGATAACTTAGACACATAGTCTATGATTTCTTTTAAAATAGAAATAATTGCAATTTTAGGAAGTACAACAAATGCTCAAACAAATGTTCAAAGATGTCAACCTCAGTTTTTTTTAAACATACAGATAATCTAGAACTGTACAATTAGTTAATCTTTGGTTCAAATAATTAACTCCGTAGTGTGTGGAATAATGTCTGTTTGATAATTACTTGTTGAGTGAATGAATGGTAAGATACTATTCAGAATGGTTTATAAAAAGCTTGCATTTATAATGACATTATTCTATAATTATGACACCAAGGCCAGTAGTGTAATGACATTCTTTAAAAAATAAATAAATATATATATATATTCGGGAGACAGAATGTTGTTAGGTGTTTTCTTTCAGAGTTAGAAGGGTGTGGTGTTAAAGACATGCTCAAATAAGTAAAATGAGAAATGTGGGTAGTTTCTTGTGGGGACATATAATTCTCTAAGTAGGAAACTCACACATTAAGTCCCTCATTAGGAAAAAAGTCATCTGATTAATGGAGCATATAAACTGTGACCTGAAATTTTCCTACATGAGTTTTCCTGGGGAGTAAGATTCCCTCATCTGGGAATCTTCAAAAAGTTAAATACAACAGTCATTTTTAGCTCATTCATTCAAACATATTATTAGTACCTCCTATGTGTTTTAGATAATGTGCTATGTTGTAGGGATATAGAAAGAGGAGCAAGGCAAAAATCTGTCAAGTAGAGGGAGACTGGATAGATTTTTAAAAAACAATGTATAGAGAGTACTTAATGATGAAGTGAATGAAGGAGAGCTAAAGTCATCAACTTATTTCCAATAGAGTAGAACTCATTACATGCTCCTGATTTTAGCATGCTGATAAGGTAGTCAGATATGCCACATAAAAACAATCAGTGATCTTTCTCCTAGACATTTTGAGATAGAAGAAACATGAGGAAATGTTGAAACTTTTGTCTTTGATAAAGACAAAAATATTCTATCATTTCTTTAGAAACTTATTTTGGATGACTGACACCCTCTAAAATCCAGTTTGGGGAGGACTAAGGTACTGCAGGTCAGAGTTTGTTCAGTGATCTCATATAACGACTACCCAGAGTATAGTCATCCCTCTTTAAGAGGCAGCCTTCAAAACGAGTTGTCAAGTTGCCTAAGGACCAATACGATTTTTATGTTACATGGAAGACCATCTAAGTCTTCCAAATCACTGATTTTTTAAAAGCAGTGCTGTCTGATAGAACTTTCTGGGACAGTACAAATGAAATGTGTTTTATAGCTGCACAGTCCAAGTCCAGTACAGTAACTACTAGTCACATGTGGCTATTGGGCACTTAAATTTTGTCCGTGAGACTGAGGAACTGATTTTTATTTTTAAAATATTTTCATAGTTGTAGAAGGACACAATACTTTTATTTATTTATTTTTATGTGGTGCTGAGGATTGAACCCAGTGCCTCATACATGTGAGGCAAGCACTCTACCACTGAAGCACAATGCCAGCCCTGGTCTATATTTATTTTTTAATGAATTTATATTTAAATAGCCAGATGTGGCTAGCAGCTATTGTATTGGATAGTGCAGCTCTAAAACCTAATAATCCAATTATGAATAAAATGAACTCTGCTTTATTTATGTCAAGGAAAGGAAAAGTGGTATCAAATTAGCTTTGGAGTACAACTCCTAAGGTCAAGACAAATTATGGCTGCCTAAGTCAGTAGCTTTCAGTGGGAATGGTTCAATCACAGCTTATGTTGCACTACAGGGGCATAAAAAGACTGTTAAAGTTAAAGGTCTAATGGGAGATTCTGAAGGAGGGTCTTCAAATCCTATTCCACTAAGTTTTTGTTTTGTTTTGTTTATTTAAACTTAGTTTTCAGAACTATACAAGAAATGTGGGAAGCACAAAACAAGTCCAAACCATGTCCCTTTGTTTTGCTATGACAGGTAGATATTGAGAGACTGGCTGCTATTTGTATGTTGCTGCTATTTGTCATCTCTTTTCTGGTCACCATTAGCCACTCTGGCAACCTGTAGCTTGTTCTGTGTTTCATACCTTCAGTCATCAGTTGCGTGGGCAGCCTACAATATTCTGGTTTTACATTTTTATTGTCCTATTAATTTGACACCATCTAGTAAACATTTTTAATCTCTTTCACTTCATTTTACATTTTCTGGTCAGCACATCCAACATATTTAAAGAAGAAAGGAGATTATATTTGGGAGGAGAAATAAAGAAGCTTCACAATTATTAAGAATATCTATATACCAAGTACTTTTACTATTAATCCTACAAAGCAGATGATACCATTCTTCATTTCAGATGAGGAAATTGAAGCTCAGGGATTTTAAAAGCTGGCCCACAATCATGCAGGTGGGTAGTGACACAACTATGATATGAACTTGAATCTCTCTGACCCCTCCCAACCCACCTTTTTTCTTACTATGTCACATTGCTTCTTAAGCCCATTTTACAGTGTATTTTTTCAGAAATAAACAGTCTTAGTTTCTTCCATATTTTTTCTAGCCATCTTCTGCCTTATTAAAAAAAAGGAGTAGAAAAGAAAGAAAGTGGTTTTTATGACACAATTCTGGAATATGTGAAAAGGATCTACAACTATTACAATGAGAAGTTTTTGATTCCTTTCAGTTTTTAAACACATCAAAAAATTTTTTTTGGCTTCATGAAATGCTGTTTATTTTTCTCTTCATCTCAAGCCTGTTAATCAGGCTTTCAGACTCAATTGGTGTGGCAAAAGGTCTGCCATTGTGATGGTCCATGTGCAGAACGTAGGTGGGGATTTTTTCAGTGTTATAGTTTAAATGTGTGGTACACCCCAAAGGTCCTGAGTTAATGGAAGAATGAGCAGAGGTAAAAAGACTGGATTATGAGACTTGTAACCTAATCAGTCCATCCTAGTTTGAATGAAATGGGTGGTTACTATAGGCAGGTGGGGTATGGCTGGAGAAGGTGGGTCATTGGGGGTGTATCCTAGAGAGGCATCTCCGTGGCCCCTTCCTCCAAACACATACATTTTTTAAAAAGTTACCAGAGCTTTAAAATTATAAAAATGTTCTCTAAAGGGGTGGTTTAAAACTGCATGCAAATGATTTGTTGAAAGTATTACAAAAGGCAAGTTCCAAATGCCATGGCAAGTACTTAGGAAAAACAACAACAAATTAAAATAAACAAAAAACCCTCAGCTTGTAGAACTGAGGGAGTGAACCCTATCCATTGCCTTTTCAAAGAAGCAACTAACTATGTGTTTAAGTTATAACTACTTAGGCACTTAACATTTTATGGGCATCACATACTTTAAAAAGTAAAATAACAGGTAGAAAGAAAACTACCTTTTTGGTAGGGTATCTATAACCTTATAATTTTGCACCCTAAGTAACCATAATTGTTTTTTAAAAAATCTTTTGTATTTTTTATTTTTGGTAAAAGGGATTGAACCCAGGGATGCTTAACCATTGAACTACATTCCAAGTCACTTTTTGTTTTTTATTTTGAGACAAGGTTTTCCTAAGTTGTGGAGGCTGGCTCTGAACTTGTGATCCTCTTGCCTCAGCCTTCCGAGCTGCTAGGATTACAGGTGTGTGCCACTGTGCCTGGCTGTTTCTTAAAATCTTAAATTTAGTGTCTGAAAGATGACTTTTAAAAAAATAAACCCATCATAGCCCCTTCAGTCCTTTATGTGAATTTACTTATTAAGAGTATTTTAGGGCTGGGGCTATAGCTCAGCAGTAGAGTGCTTGCCTAGCATGTGTGAGACCTTGGGTTTGGTCCCCAGCTCCACATACAAATGAGTAAATAAATAAAGGTATTGTGAAAAAAAATTTTTTAAAAAAGAGTATTATAGTCTAGTGGCTCTAACCAACGAGGTTCCAATCTTGGTTCAGTCCTTACTGGTTTTGTGACTTGAAGGTTCTATGCTTCATTTTCTACTTCTGAAAGATGAGGACAATAATTCTAGGTAATTTTGAGGATTGGATGAGATAATATATATAAGGTAATGAGAAAACTCTTGGAAATAATGCTCTATTTTTTCCAACCTGTCTTTGTAATTGAAAAGACAATGAGATAAAATAATCATTTTAAACTAATTATGGTTAATGAAAATTTAAATAAAGATGCCATAAAATATCTCACAATTAATAATAAGTCTATATTTTCCTAAGAACATCATAAAAGAAGTTTTGGTATAGTAAGAATATCTAGAATATAATTCCTAATATATTATGCTGAGGACATATAGTAAGAAAACAATAAAACTTTCATCTTATAATATGTTTCATAAAATATAAAAGAATGGGAAAAGTTCAATAAGCTATTTGACTAAAATAATCTATTCAAACTGGAAAATGGTAACCAGAACAGTTGCTTGGGAAAACTGAAATATATTTTACCCTACTCTCAAATTATATAAGGTTTCTGGAACTTTATAATGGAAGTCTTTTCCTTACAGGATATGAGTTGGTATGACTGGGTTTCACAAAAGGAGATATTAGAATATTAATCCTAGATCCAACATGGCAGCAGGTGCGGAGAGATCAAGTCTCTGACCTCTTCAGCTGCGTGGGCATAGGGAGTTGTAAATCGTCTAAATGCTGTTTGCTCAGGATCACTAGGCAATGCTGAGCTGACGTGGATCTGGGGCGAACAGTCTGGGCCTCTCAGAACACACACCGAGCCTGGATTGGCTGAATTCAAGCTCCTGTTCCCCTGCTTCTCCCAGACAAACTGCTGTGACTCAGCACTAAATGATCCTGCTGAAACAACTGGTCGGCCCTTCTGATCCTACGGGGGTTAATGCCAACTGAGCCTTCATAGGCAGTGGCCACAGGATTGAAACGGGGCTTGGAAGAGACACTCAGGACCCACCCGTTGCACTGGTCACCCGGCAAAGGGAACAAACTGTCACCATTTGCATGAGATACCACCATGGCAGAGAACTGACGTCACCAGAATGCGACGGAGGAGATAACTTCATTGAAACCAGCGGCGACAGGTGTGTAATCCCCTAGCTTTCCCTCTCCACACAGCAGAGAAACCTTAAGGGCCCCTCCCAGCTCTCCCATGAGCTCGATAGCCAGACTGAGGGACTCAGGAGTGGTGCGGGACCTGAGGCTCAGAACTCCGGAACTCCCGGCTACCGCTCCCACCAGTGCTGACAACTGAGGTCTCTAGCACCAGCTATCAGGGGCGTGGCTACCGGAGGGCAAGAACAATTCACGGAGGGTTCTCAGCCCCAAGCTCCACAAACGTAGGGTCTGAGGGATTGGCAAACAGGGAGAGTGTGCCCAGTCGTTCATGAAAACAGGGCTCCTGGGAGCAGCAGACCTGAAGTGTAGCCAGTATTATGGTGAGCGTCACCGGTGAGCGGGGCCTGGCTTGAGGAAAAGTGGGGAAGTGACTAGACACAAGAGAAGGCCCTAGGCACTCATGATTGGAGACCCGCCCAGTCTGGGAGGAGGAGCTGCTGCACAGTGAATGGTTCCCGTGTACTGAGAGGAGAAGCTTGGCTCGGTGGGCACAGCTCCAACTATTGGAAGAGAAGTTAATCAAACTCTAAGACTGCATTTATTAATTTTTTTTTAATTTGGGTTTTTTTTTCATTTTCATTTTTTTGTTGTTTTTT